TCGGTTCCTTTTGCGGCGACCTCCGATATAATATCTTCTTTTGAAATATCGTTATGCAGGTAATTGCAAGGAGACGAGGAGGCGTTTTCAAAAGATACCTACGTCCCACTATATTATTTTAATTCATTTTTTTATTATATAGTATTTATAAAATAGAGTGTATAGCCAAACTGAATTACAGATGTTTCTAGGTGTTTAACGTGGATTTCTGCCAAGAAGTATTAACTCCACCCAACGGCACACGAAGTTTCAGAACACACATTTAGCGCACCGAGGATGGTAAGCCCTCGGGATACAGTGGAGATACGTATATGGACGTACTGCCCTCCATGATGAGCGTGAGGCCTACCTAAAATGTTTGTCTTTTCGTGGGTCAATAATACGGATGCTATGCGACTCTCCACCGAGCCCGCAATGGGCCATTCCCATCCCCTCAGGTCGAAGTTTGGAGATTGCTTCGGGGCTCCTGACACATATGGACTCCAGTCAGGCTTTGCATCATCTCTTACGACCTGAAACACGATATGAGATAAAAAACCAGCCAACACAAAGCGCATGGACATTGTATTCTCATTGGGCGGAGGACGCCTACCCTAATCTATTTAGTTTAATAAGGGAAATGACCCTTACGACGACCCAAATCCAGAAGAAGTGGGACACGATGAATCTGCTCTACCGCACTTATAAATTTATCCTTAACCTCATGGAATTGTGGAATAAACTTACCCTATCATTCCTATAATACCTAACGCTTACCCTATAATACTTAGTTACTTGATTTCTGCTTCATACCAAAGACTAAGCCCATTTCCTCTGACCACTGGAGGTCTGCGAGACGAACGGCTACCTTTCAGTGGCATTTTTACAGTTTTCTCCGATGGTACATCGACACTGTCAATATGTCCTCGTGCATTAATCGCTCTCAAAACGTTTTCACCGCGTTCTTCAGAGAAGTTAAGTATTCCATTAACCCAGATGTTTTCTAGCTACCTTAACGAACTATTCATCCCAAAGTTCCATATAAAAAGTCCACCAATGGGTTCTTGTGGACAACCTCTAACCGCATCCCTGAAGACAATGTCACTTCTAACCACAACTCTCTGAGAGAAATGACTTTTCCGGAGTTTAATTTCCGAGGAAATAACCTCTTTCAGTCTAGCAAGTATATGGTTCCAAAAAAGGTGGTCAAACGCACTCTTAAAGTTGACGAATATGCCTAACACGTACTTCTTGCCACAATCCCTGATATATCTTTGCACATGTCCGCTGACGTCTTCAGTACGGAGACCCTCGCGGAAATCGAACCGCCTATCAGAAACCATCTGAAGCTTTTCTATCATTACCATTTCCAGAATTTTTCCAAGCACTTGGACGAGACTGTTGTCACAAAAAGGAGAAGGTACGCTTCTCACCTTTTCAGATGACTTCGGAAGAACTAGCACATTTGCCATTTTCCAAAGGGGATCAAAAGGGTGTCATCAGCAAGCAGCAACATAGATAATCATCCAGTTCTTGGTTGAACATACAATAAAGGGTTGCAAGAAGCAACCTTCCGTATGCGCCTTCAATAGACACACAAACACCACGACGACTTGCTAGGGCAAGTGTGGCCTCCACATTCACATTATTCACAATAACAGCAGAGTGCTTGTTGATGTTAAGAAACACACGCATGGACACTGGTAAGCTCTTGAGTCCGCCACCGTATATGCACGGCCCGTACGTCAGCGCCACCCCACCGTCTAAATCATGCATACATTGACCAAGCTCGCACAACGCTTTATAATTGCGGTTGCAGTTACATTGCAGTATGAGCAAGGCTATTTTAACGACGAGATGCAACACGTGCAACCTTCCTCTTATATTCAGGACAGGCGGAAGACATCATAAGATCACCTGCCGAGGCTCCCCTAACTCACAGTCTCTACAGTGTGTGGCGTTTCTACACCTTGACCACAGTGTCTACAAACTATACTCATCAACTTTCGATCTTTGTCCATATGGTCAAAGCTCATGCAGCAGTAGCCCATAGGTATCTCATCGTAGGGGCGTACCGGAAGCGACATCTATTCAGCGTACCCCATACCAGCGCATAAAAGGCAATCCATGATAATATTACAAGCTGGCAAAACAATACTGGAGCATCTTGCAGATGCTGAGAATCTGCCTGCGGTTTTCGCACTAGACACATCTACTTGTCAAACTCTTGGTGAATAGGGAATAAACCTTTCAGGTTGATCTCGTACAACGTATCAATAAAAGCGAACGGATTTAACTTCTGATGAACTGGATCAAAACTAATTTGTTTATGTATTTATTTACTTATTTGTTTATTTTAATTCTACTTATACATGAAACTCAACTAAACAAATAACAGTCGAGTTCAATTGGCACTTAAGGCAAAACTTATATTAATTAATAATAAAACTTAGTATAAGTACAATAAAACAACTAAGAAGGAAAAAAAAAGAAAAAAAGCATGTACACAACCAACATAGATCCGTCGCAAACATGCATAAGTCTGGCAACCGATAATAGTTAACAACAATTCATTTTCGAATCGTAACGGCTTTTTAAGGTTGAAAGCTAGTTTAAGTACGACATAGGTAAATCGCGCGTATTAAGCAATGTTGCTTTAATGGACTTTAAAGAGTCCGATAATGAGCATAAGTGATAGACGTCATTTAGGTTCTTGCAAACAACTCTGAGTGTATTAGTTTGGGGACAAAGAAATCCATTATTTTTATATGAACTTCAGGACTTTATTTAACATGCTTCGGATTGTCCGATTTGGGTCAAATATGCACCGTTTTGTTGTACGATTTGTTGCCATTTTAAAGGTAACTTCAAAATGCCTCTCTCATAGAAGTATGGTCTCTATTTGCAAAAAACTCTAGTAGTCGATTTTCACAATCCTCCCTAGATTCCAATTTTTTATCATTAAAGAAATTTTGCAATGCATGAAAAAGATGATAATCGCTTGGTGCCAAGTCCGGACTGTATAGCGGATGCATTAAAACTTCCCAACCAAGCTCCCGAAGTTTCTGGCGAGTCACTGTAGATGTAATTGGCCTAGCGTTGTCCTGGCGGAACACGACACCTCTCCTGTTGGCCAATTCTGGCCGTTTCTGGTCAATCGCTATCTTCAAACGGTCCAGTTGTTGACAGTAGAGATCAGAATTTAGCGTTTGGTATGGAAGCAACTCATAATAAATAATCCCCTTCCAGTCCCACCAAATGCATTCCTGGCCGTTTGAGGTGCTTCACCGCTCTTTGACCACGATCGTTTTCGCACAGGGTTATCGTATGTGATCCATTTCTCATCTCCAGTCACCATCCGTTTAAGAAATGGGTCTATCTCATTCCGTTTGGCCAAGGCTTCGCAGATGGAAATTCGATCCATCATGTTTTTTTCTGTTAATTGGTGTGGCACCCAAACATCGAGCTTCTTTTTGAATCCAGCTTTGTGTAAATGGTTTAAAACTGTTTTATGGTCGATTTTTAGCTCCTGGGCGATGTTACGACTGCTAACATGCCGGTCAACTTCGATCATTTCTCCGATTTTATCGACATTTTCGACGACCGACCTACCTGTGCGAGGTGCATCTTTAACATCAAAAATTCCTGAACGGAATCTACGAAACCAAAATTGCACATAATTGGCTGTTACAGTATCGGAACCATAAACACCATTTACAATTTTAGCCGCCTGGCTTGCATTTTCGCCTTTGTCAAAGAAAAACTGTAAAATGTACCGAATTTTCTCTTTGTTAACTTCCATTTTTAACACGCTGTAACTCACAACTGAATGCGCCAAACAAAAAATAGGAAAAGAATTTTTTTTACTGCGAAATGTACAGTATGTAAATGTATCGTATCGGAAATTGTTTGATCGATACTTTACGAGAAATCTATCAGTGCAGCGATCTACCGAAAAAATAATGGATTTCTTTTTCCCCAAACTAATATTAAACAGCTCATAATTATATTTACTCTGACTAAACTTAACCAAGATAAAGTGCTTAGAGAAGCGATTAGTGACCTTAAACCATTCACCAAGTAATGAAGGCGAGTCAATAGCACCATTTATTACTTTGATTACAAAGGTAACGCCAAGAACAAACCTACGTCTCTCAAGAGACGGTAAGGACAGCAGAAGTACCCTAATTTTATAGGGTAAACAGCAAGAATTGCTTTTGAACAGATTCAATTGAATCTACATAGCACCTATATGAAGGAGACCACACAACAGAGGCATACTCGAGTATGGGTCTAACCAAACACATGTACAGCTTTTCGTCATGTAGGGATCATCAAGCTCTTTGGACCACGTTTTTATAAAACCAAGCGCGGACCTAGCTTTGCTTATCGAGAGCTCAATATGCAAGTTAAAACGTAACCTATGGACAAATAGAACGCCTAAATCTGTGATCGAATCGACGTCCTCCAACTTATGTGAATCTATGAAATACTGAGTAATGAATGACTTTCTTCTTGAGAAAGGAGGCTTCTTACATTTACTCAGATTTAGTTTCAGAAGATTCAAAGAAACAAAATTGTCCAAGTCACCTTGAAACTGATTTGATTGCGATTCAACAGAGAAGGAAGAAAGTAGTTTCACATCATCGGCATACATTAAGATCTGGCTGGAATTAAACCCCGATGGGAGATCGTTAATGTATAAACTAAATAAAATGGGACAACAGAAACGTCAAGCCCGATTTCACCAAACTTTGCGTTAGACACAATCTTCTTCCTCTCTGCAACGGATGGTGTACGGTATGCAGCCCTACCGCCGCGGATAGATTTAATACCGTGAACCCTAACGGCCAACGTCGGTTACACCAGTTCTACGGCCTTCTTAAACACATCCTTAGGTGTGTCCGTAGTATTTTCACGACAGACGACCACAGATCAAATTTCCACTAATTTCGGTGGTGGAGCAGTTCAAGCAGCCTCAACAACGGGAAGTGGAACCGAAGTCGTTGTGGGTGCCCCACCTAGCAAGCGGCAGATGTAGAACGGCCACCGCGTTTCTCTAACTTTTCTACGCGATCACTAAGGCGCGCATTTTTAGCCCCCAAGAAGAAAAATATAGCCTCGTATTCGCCGCCCAAGCCCAAGAGCTCACTGGCAGTCTCAAGTGAGACGTTGTACGATGAGGAGACGTATTTTTAAAGACGAGTGGTTATCGTCTTCACATTGTCAACCGACCTCGCAGCGGCAGCACTCCGTTCCTCGCATGCAACGGCCTGCACACTGAAGCACACAACAATGTATTATTATGGTAGAATATAATGTCAACAAACGCTCTGCAGTCGTCATTTTACTCATGCTTGTACATGGGCACTTCAGCGGAAAGGCGAACAGTAAAATTACCTTTTTATAAATAGAACAGTTTTAGGAAGAGCTTCACCTTTATACGTTTTACGAAATGCTCTCGCTATTGACATATCTATGGTCATAGAGACGTCGAACAGCACCGGCTTATTAGAAGACACAATGAGACAGTTGAAGATAAAGAAAAGAGCCGAACAACGAAGAGTCAGTTGAACAGGAGCCAGCAAAAAAAATGAGCCGCATATGAGTTAGTTAGTGATCAGCGAAAAGTAAAGATGTGACGTGAAAGGAGTGAAAATGGATTAACAAGTCGAATAAATGTTAGAAAAGAACTTATTAAAAAAAAAATAAAAACAAAAACAAACAAAGAAGAACAAAACAGCTATTGGGTGGTTTTTAAAAATTTTTTTAAAAGAGTAAAAATACTAAAATAGAGTTGAGCTTTACAAAAAGAAAAAAATTAAAAATACAGTGTATAAGTCAAGACGTACAAAATAAATATTTAAAAAAAAGGAAAGAACGGAAAGAAAGAAAGAAGAAGGGAAGAAGGAAAGAATTGTAAATAAGTTTAAATCTACGAAGCATAACTTTAAAAGACGCCATGAACAATTCAAACTATATAAGAATAATTGAATGTACGATAAATAAATAAGTTTCTAAATATAGGTTTTAAAAGAGATGAACTAAGATAATAAAATTACATGTTATATATACTTATTTACGTACCAAATAAGGAAAGAAAATATAAAGACTATATATACTTTCCGTTGGTATGAATAAGGTAATAAATATGCTAAATGAAGCATTGGAGTAAGTAAAAGGAATGAGAATTTGGATACCGAAGTGTGAAGGCGAAAAAGAGATGAAAATGTTACAAGTGCGCAAATGGAAGAAAAGTTGAAGAACGTCACTGGATGACAACAATGCTGTAAAGGTCATATCGAGGTCGAGGTCATATTGTTTACTTATGTATAAGTAAGTTAAAGAATTGTTTTCAAACTAGGATGAACTTCATATCATAGGTTGCTTGGAAAAGTTTTACTCACATAAAACTCTTTTGCTTACTTTGGCAAAATTGTTATTTCAAACAACTACAGTCGCTGAAACGACAGATCGAATATAAATATTTTGAAAATGACTTATGACTAAGTGGCCTCAGTAAGCACATATGCTTTCCTGTTAACAAAATTATTGTCGACACCGAAATAGAGTTCTTAAGTTAAAAGCGAAAATCATTCCAAAGCTCTTCAAGTCTAGTAGAGTTAAAAAACCTATTATATAAACCTTCCCATAAACATTTCTCGAAAATTTGGAAATTGGGAATTTAGAGAATGTCGACGGCACTACTGTTTATATCGTTCCACTAACATTTCCCATTCACATCAAGAAAATCGGGATCAAAAGATATGCAAGCATTCACACAAGTCATAACATTATAACGTGTAAATAGGTCCTTAAGAAAGCTTCTCCATTGATATGCAATTATGGAGAAAATTGTACGATTAACCATTTATACTTGTAACTGCCAAAACCTTTCCCATATCCGTGGGATATCGTGTTCGTACAGGTTGTCATTATTTTTGAATACACTTCCAAAAAGAACGGCTTACAGACAATAAAAAAGAAATAAAAGAAAATAGAACTTTCGCTCTCTGTTGTCATTTCTGAGGTTTTTTATTTAACTTGTCTTTGTTTTGCATTCACCTTATACGACTTTTGATAAAAGTCATAAAAGCCATATAACATAGCGACTGTGGTCACTGAGAAGTAAGTCATGTGAATGCTCGGCACATTGCAGGCGGTGTATTGAAATCCTAACCATATTAAAATCAAAACGAATTGTATCATTTGTATAATGGTGAGCGATTTCTTCAAAAATATAAAACGTCGCATGAACTGAGGATCCAGTACGGCAGCCATCGTGTAGTATGAATACATAAGAATATGAATGAAACAATTCATGTAAACAGGAAAGAACGTCCCTTCAGCTATTTTCATGCAAAACATAAGAAAGGATTTTATTACACTTTCTTGCCGATAAAATCTTTTCCGGCTTACTTACCACGATAGTAACGAAAATACAATAGAATTAGAACGAGAACTGACGAATGATGGAAGACATGCAAAGGTGTGACTTGATTTTGTTTTTTCCTCAGCACGAACAGCACCGTATCAAAGAGTTCTAAATTTTTCAACATCGACACGTATGTACTAATTTCGTAATAATCCAATGATTTCTCCGACATGTCGTGATGAACACGACAATTTGCAAAATTGAAAAGGTCCCCTTGGCAGAAAGCTCGCATCTAAAGTATTGAAAGAAAAAATTTAAAGAAAACAAAAATAGGGTCGTGACAATTACTTACCCTTTTCATCACGTACGCGCATAATACAATATGCGTAATATTGTATATAACTAATAAAGTTTTCACTTGAAAAGCAGGGCGATTTTTCATTAAACTGAAAATATATTTTAAAAGTCAGTAAAAGACACTTCTTTCACGATGTTAAGATATCCGTCGAAAAACAGAGAAATATTATAAACTATTTCGAGAAGTATTTAGTACTATAGTTAAAACATTCTTGTTTCTAAAAGCGTTTGATTCGATTTTTTAATAAGAAAGGAACAAACTTTTAGCTATCATTAGTGACCCATATTCCTAACACTATAGTTACAGGTCTTGAGGTTATGTTATTTCAAATATCTAAGTTTAGCGATAATTGTCTTCAGGCTTCAGGCTAACCTTTTCAGATAATACTTTCAAGTGTCGCCCTCAAGACAGCAGCTATAGGGGTATAGGGTTTCGCTATCTTTCTGCCTGAGTATATCTGAAATTTGTTCATGTATTTTTGTGTTGAAGCTGCAGGTCGCAATTTATGAGTTATTTTGATAAAATTTGGTACACAGACGTACTTTGGCCCAAGGACGAAAGCGATTGAAAACGGCTAAGATTAGTCCACTTTTTCGACCAATGCCCATAAATGCCTCTATTCTAAAAGATCATTCATTATATGGAAAAAATTGCAATTTTCAAAATATCCCGGCTGGAGTGGCTGAGTAGTAGTATTTCGGCATTCTTAATTGGTGAACTGAAAGCTTTGAACCGGCTGCGGTAATTTTTTGAACACCTTCTCATATAACCGTTCCCACGGGAACTGAATCTTTATATGGTAAAAAAGTCGAACTTCCAATATTTATTGTGAAAATTGGTTCATAACAGTAAATTGACGAAAAAAATCTTCGTTAACGAACTTGGAACACGTGGGTCCATTTCTTGTTTATATGCCAAAACAGCCTAATTGTTAATATTTTTGTGATGGAAATTTATTCATGATGGGGAATTAAATAAAAAAAGTAAAAGGATCAATTTTCCAGAAAATCGTTATTAGGGTAAGATGCAAAAAACAGTCCGACATGGTCCAAATTGGGCACAGTTAACTTTTTATGTTAAATTACTATTGTGATGTTGTGACCTTTTTGTCAGCTTCAGTTTTCGTTATAAGAGAGAATGGTCAAAAATTGCGCCACCCGGTACAAAGATTCAATATTACTATTTAATCACTTTTGCCGAAAATTTCTGTAAATAGCAATTTTGTTCCATATAACGACTTTTCATAATAAGGCGTCATAAGGGGAGTAGCCGAAAATGTGGACTGATCCGAACAATTTTCAATAGCGTTTACAACAGATGATGTAGGATATAAGTAAATGGAGTCAATTTGAGCCACATGGTTCTATTTCTTGGCACCCGATAGAAGGTGTTTCGTGAGTAATAAGCGCTTCGGAAAAAGACTTAATCTTAATATTTTATGAGGAAAATTAATTCAGAGTAGCGTTTGACCAAAAAAATTAACGGAAACGAATTTGGATCACAAAGGCGTATTTTTTTTAGTCCCCAGCATATATAGACGCTACCAAGAAACGAAAACTCTTATATGGGGAGCAAAATCTAAAGTTTCAATATGCGGGCTTTCAGAAAAATTGTGGCTCTGCATGAAGATAATATGTACTTTTTGGTGTATTACTATCGAAACGAGCGAATAATTTTGTTAGGAGAAGTAGTGTAGGATATGTAAAGTTCGGCGTTGCCCGAAAACTGTGTTCTTACTTGTTTTGAAATGGCAACATGTAAAAACATTTGACGCCAGCCGAATATAATTTTCTTACTTGCTTCTTTTATAATTATCTTAACTCTGTTTGTACTGGAGTTTCCTTCACAACCCTTTCGAAAATTAAATTACATCAATGATATTTCCAAATTTTCAAAATTTTTTTTATCAAAACTCCTATCTACCGATAGCCCATTTTTATGAGTATCGTCTCGAAAAGTCTATTCCACTGTCTTATTAAAACATAAAAACTTGAAATTAAAAAGTTCACGAATGCACGCGTTTGTGTTCTTGCAAAGATAGGACGTCTCGATTGTACGAAGAAGTGTTCATAGTGATTCGAATTTCTGGGGCGAGAACTTATCCTGTGCGCAGCTTGTTGTTATACAAATTCTGTTTTTAATTTCAAAAATTTTATCGAAGTCATATACATGATAGGGGAAAAATGCTTATTTACCTTGGTCCAACTGTTAATACAAATACCAGATAAATACTTATCACAGGTGCCACATACCACCACGACCATAAGAAACTATGTTTTGTAATTAAATATTTCAAATGTTGGCACTGGTCAACCGTATCCATAGTAGCGTTTTTTTTTTCAAAGTTACTTAGAAATTTTTTTAAAACTTGAACTTTCTTTTATGTTCTTATGTATTCTTCAGTTGAAATCTTCATATTAGTAAACGATTTCTATTCAATTCCATGCTAAATACGCACTAATTGTTCTACGTTACCAATCGATCTCATTCTTGTTAAATTAAAAACTAAACAAATTTGCATGCGAAGGGCTAGTCTTTTAATCTTAAATATTGAACGAATTCGAAAGAAGTGTAAACTGAAAAAAAATGCAAGAGACAAAGTACATTTGATGTTTACGTATCAAATATTTTTATCATTAACCAAAGGCAATAATCCGAAGTTATCTTAACACTTTAACACTGAATCTTATGATAAATAAATGGTTTAAAAAAATTTTTATGTTTTGCACT